GCTTGTCGCACTGGATAAATATACCAGGGAGTCTCTTGGCGATAATAGTACAGGTTAGTCGCCAGCATCGCCCAGATTTTATGATAGATTTAGCATGAGTGGAATCTCAACATCGGCGCTCCAAATTGAATAACGGACCCACTGAGCATACAATTGTCTTATTAAACAGTATAAGGAAAAGACTTAACACTTTAACTTAGAAATAGAGTTGCACCTCGAATTTGAGTTTGAGCTTCAAACTCAAATTCACCTATCTGCGATTTTTAAGTAGACTGGCTAATTTAAACGTAGGGCGAAATTTGCGGAATTCGTAGATTCGTAGATGCAATGTGCAAATCAATGGGAATATTCATAATGGAAAATAGTATTTTTTGATAACATTACATTCGACATTATTATTAATTTTTATTAATTATTAATTTTCGACATTATTAAACAAAACTTTTTTAGTTTTTTTAAAAAGTTCTATTGAACCTAAGCATCATCGCTTGGGTGTGTCAAGACACACATGCATGAAAAATTTATTGAGAGGCTTTTTTTGGTTATCAGTTAAGTAAGAGGGTAAAGTTAGAGGAATTGTTACTTTTGATCTCAAGGCTCATGTGGAATATCATAAATTTAAAATAATGATAAAAACAAAATAAACAAAAGAAAAAATGCAATATGCAGCGGTTAGCGCCCGCCATTTCTAATAAGGGTAATCCTGATAGCTATTAGTACGACTAGATAGAGATAATGGAAATTCAGGTGTGCTGCGAACGTCTTGGTCATTTCAGTTGCAGCTTTATTCTTGCCAGGGTTAGGAAATCGAGCCGCTGTACAAAAGAGCAGCAAAAATAGCAGCATTTAGAGCTTGGCGATTCCTACCTTCAGTATTAAATTTCACAAAATTCCTTCAGGAATCCGTTCCACTATGCTCAGATATGTACAGATCTATACAGATTTAACAATTTGCTACCACGCGGAACTTTTACTTTTATCTATCAACAATATTATAAATTCTTCGGCCAACGTTCTCTTTGTAATTATTTCGGTGCGAATGTTCGGATCACCCTCAAACTTGGGTAATTAAACCGTTTATTAATTTATTAGTAACGACGCAATAGATAAAGAAAGGAAGCTGTCCTATTACAAAGAAAAATAATATAGTAAAACCGAACATAAAAGAATATATAAATACCCAGTTCACCCGTCTCCCCTCCCCCACCGCCTCCCCTCCACCTCTTTTCCCAACAAAAACCTAAAATGGCCAAAAATCAACACAGTTCGAAGTAATCATATCATTCGAGCATCCCTTCTATCCCTAATAAGCTTGCTGAAAAATAAATAGGTAATAAAACAATATATAAAAAATAAAGTATATAAGCCTCGAATAAGAAAAGATTTAAAAGACAAATTTTGAAGAATTGCTGAAGACAAAATAATCTTAATCGAGAACAATTCTCTATACTTTTGCTCGATTTATAAATTGTTTGTTGTATGATAATTTTTGAATTTTTAATAATCGAAGCATAATTTTGTCCAAGCAATCAAATTTTTTTGCCGCTTAATAAAAGCAGTACAATCAAGTTAAAGCTGATTTTTTCGAAATAATTTTATTAGAATTTTATTAGAATGAAAGCATTATTGAAGATTCAACGGGAATTGATTAAAATTAAATCGAAAGATTTCTCATTTATTTATCGACGCACAAAAATGTACAAAACTTTTATTTTTGTTCGAAATTATGCGAAATTTGTTAATTAGTTTTGATAAGGTCAGTTAATTAGCATTGATTAATGCCTAATTAGCAATGTGATGAAATATCTTAATTTTATTTAATATTTTTATTTAATGTTTAATAAGAATATTTTTTTGAGAATCATATTCTTTTTAGAAATATGATGCATAAATATTTAATGATAGTGAACTTTGCCAAAAATGAAAGTAGCGTCGTCCCCTTCCTCTTCCTTTAATAGCACTTCACCGCTGCTGGATTATCTTCTTTCTCGAAGTGCTAGGATGAGAGCATACAATGAGTAAATCGCTTGGGACAGTGTGAAATTGTAGAAGAATTCCTATTTACCATTGGAATTTTACTTTAACAATGGATCATTCTCGCCAATGGACAAGAATTGAATCTATGTTGCTTGACCTTGGTTAAAGCAAAATGTTACTCAGTCAACCTAATCTCATATTCAGCATTTAGTTACCTTTATTGAAAAACATTTGACTCAGTGTCCAGCTTTGAATCTGATAATTTGTGATAATTTGTTTTTTTAAGTGTGTAATCCTTTTTTGACGTTCCCTAGAACTTTTTATGAGCATTCAGGTCCTTAACTCTCTTAAGTGCACCGAATTCTTTTTTAAAAAGGTTTATTTTAATCTCGCTCCTGGTAACCTAACATTAAAAGCGACCTCACATCTTGTCAAATATCCTCTTTCCTTTGCCATTAGTAACATCATTTTAAATTCCTTTCTATCGCTTTCACCCAACTATTCCCAGTTGCCATACGTCCTTGTTATACCCTATAGTCGAATTCTTTTATCGCTAATATGTTCTCTATTTAGCCATTAATATTTTTAAAAAATTCACTATATTATCACAATTCCTTCAGAATCTGAAGCATTTCACTACTTCAAATATACTATATCACTTCGTCTCTCCCTAACCCTTTAATAATATATCGTTTAATAGTATATTTAATAATGTTTTCAACTCCGCTGTATCTCCATCAATGACCCGACACCCATCTAACCCTTATTTTCCTTATGAACACCTTTCCGATCTCCCTTGTACTTTTTAATATTTTTTAAATTTACAGCTTAAATATAAAAATTTACAAGGCAGTTTCTGAGCTTTTTCTGCAGAGTCTGGATCTTGAGCCTTGTCTGATTTGGTAGATTTCTACTTCAGCAAATCTGGTATTTAAATACTTTCTGCTGCTATAATCGATGCCTTTTAGGCAGCTTTTCTAATCATTAGCAGGATTTCTCGATGCCCGCAACTTATCTGTCGATGACCACCCCATGTCTTACTTTCCTCTGCTTGATTTTCTACGGTATCTATAGATACTTCAGACATTGCCCGAGCCCATTTTCTCTACATGGACTCATCCTTTGATGCACCTTCTTATAAGTGGATGCAGTACAGTGGGTTTTGAGAATTGATCTCAGAATCAATGTAGATAAAACGAAATTTTTTTCGTCTTGTTTACAAGAAACTGATGAAATACCTATTTTCATCAATTCATTGCAGATTGAGGAAGTGCCTGATTTTAAATATTTTGTGTTTATTTTATTTTATTTTAATCTGGTCAGGCAAAAGGCAAAATTATAACCTGGATAATGGTAGCTACGATAGAAATGTGTTCTTCTGGTTGACGAAACCATTATGGAGCCTTCGCGAAATCACCATAAAGACCGCGTCCGCGTCCATATAGATACAATTCGCTCGGTCGATATATATTTGCAAGACACATAACCAATGAGAGTGGAGAATATTAAGAAATTATTTGACCACTCATATCCAAATTTTGTAGATCCACCGAACGGATAAAATCACCAGAGAAACATGATTGCATCGACTCTTGCTAAAATATCACAGAATGCTGTCTTGGCCATTTAGAGTAAGTTCTTCATCCACCAGCAATTAACACATATTTCATTACATTAAACCCTGTGATGGAAAGGAAAACGAGATGGCCAATCATGGCCTAGACTGATACTGATACAATAAAGATTTTGGACGTATAAGGGGATCAGCAATATATAGACTTAAACTTTCTTCTTCTTCTTAAGAGTCCTCACCATTACTGGTTAAACTCGCTCCATTGGCTTATCGCATTGAGAAATATGCCAGGGAGTCCCTTGGCGATAGAAGTACAGGTGAGTTGCCAGCATCACCCGGATTTTTGTACAGGTTTGCTCCTGTGGGGAATCGAATAGTAGCTTCGGCTGCTCCAAATTGAGCAACAACCCACTGAACCATAGACTTAAACCATAGAAAAAGGAATGGCTTTACTCCTAGCAATAGCAATAGGGACTTAGCAGCTTGAAGACGTCTTACTCTTGTAGTTAGCGGAGCCAATCTAACCAGTAATGGTGAGAGCTGCTAGAAGATACTGCTAGAAGAAGAGGAAGAAGATCCCTTGGGAGTTCATGAACGAAATGGAATGATGGGAAATTTATTTCTATTTATTTATTGTATTTCTATCTAAAATCGGCTTTTCCCTTGAAAAAATATTTTTTGAATGAAATATGGCGTAAATACATTTGAGGAAAAGTGCGATACGAATGTGCAACAAATTCACAGTTTCATCTATCTTTTTTCTATCTTTTGTATTCAAAATTTGTTTATTTTCTTCACTTGTGTTTTTCTATTCTTCAGATTTCACAAATTCTTCAGATAGCATTGCAATGTGAATTTAAAATATTTTTATATACAACATTAGGTAACGTAAGAGGTCAAAATTTTCCTTTCTAACAGCGTTCAACGTGCCCTTTGTTAGACTCGTTAGTTTGTCGGACCAGACAAATTTTGCCAGGGAGTCAATTGATATAGATGTACATGTGAGCAGTATCCGAATTTTCAGGGCTTAATCCTGCCAGATGTAGAACCTTGCATCGGCTCTCCAAACTGGGCGAAAACCCACTGAGCAGTCTTATCTCCTCTTATTCTTGCAGGAATCACTTTGCCACTGGGATATCGAACTGCCGTACCGCAGAGGATACGATAAGCGATTGGACAGCAGTTTAAACTATCATAATGGAAAACTCGAATTCGATTCGTTCGATTCATGTTCGAAGCAGAGCAAACCTTTCATCAAAAAGGCAGGATGGACAGGATCCACCTATCGCAAAGCAACTCTTAGTGTTAATAACCAAAAATGATAATTGCAAACCATTTGCTAGTAAATAGTGCATAACGAGAATTTTCAAAAAAACATTTGGAATGAATGCGTTTCAAAATTTAATAAAAAGTTTATTGAGATTTACAAGTTTTATTAATTAAATAATAATTAATTATTATCATCATTTAAAATAAATTGAATCATTTTGCTGCTAAGATTTTCTAATTCGCTTCCATTTTTTGCGCATCGAACGATTCGACATTCACGGCTAAAATATTTGCCATTCCGATAAGTACCAGTGAAATGCTGAGTTTCGATTGCTTCGACCACATTATTAGCAGCCTCTTCCTGAAGTACCACGTGAAAAAATAAATCAAAGGTAAAACTAAATTTTCGAGATCTTGCGAAATAACTATGGGTGATGCTAGAAATTTCTTTTACCCATAAGCAACACTCTGGCAAAGTATCCTTACTCTAGTAATGAGTTAACTAATTAAATCAGAAATCGTAAAAGTTTTTGGAAAAAGGGAAGTAAGCGAAGAAATAGAATGAATAAATTGCTTCGACAAATGGGCTCTAGCAAATCTTTTTGAATGAAATTCATTATATTCATCGATCGAAGCAAAGAGCATACCAGTGTATCAGTAAATCTATTAAAGCGTATCATATGCAGAAGATTTTTGGTTTTGCTACTTATTGGTTTACTTAATGATGTTTGAACTATTCCTGGATGAACACTTATAGCATGAATTCCATCTTTACCATTTAAATGATGAGCCAATATCGAGAGTGCTAGTTTTGATCTGAAAACATTTCAGTGAAAAATTCATAAAAAAGTTTTTGTTAAAAAACGATCTTTATAAATCTTAAATAAAAACTTTTGGCGAAAAATGGTTAATGGATAATGGATAAATGGATAAATCATTGGATAAATGGATTAATGGATAAATCATTTTCTATTTCTTTTTTAAAGAACCTGGCATATGATTTCCATCCCGACTTCATGTTGCCTTCAGGTGAAAACATTTGCCACCAATGTTCATATTTTGATGTCCAACCAGTCAAGGCACAACAAAAACTATGAAAAAATAAATTATATATCTTCCATTATCGATAAATTTACTTTCTATAGAAATTATAAATCCTTTCAACATTTTGTATGATTAATAAGATTAATAAACAAATGTGCAGGTGCAGGGATTAACATGGAATTTGTTCGAGTAAATAAGTAGCGCCCACCATTTTTGGTCAGATTCTCTCGGCCAACTGTTTATATGGTTAGAAACTTTTACCATGAAGCCAGTTATCCTTTTTTAATGTATCATTTTGAAGGACAACTTAATAAAGATATTAAATGTTTAAATAGTCAAATCCTCACTTCTTCTTCCTCTTGGAAGCCTCAATATCTTTTTTATCAAAACGTTTGCCAACTGTGTTGCAAACATCACTATTTTTACTTTTTCACTTATATCCATACAATACGCTTAGTAAATTTGCTATTAAAATTTGCCTACAATCAGTCTATGTGTAGGCTTTCTCACTTTGAAAGAAATTTTGATGCTAAAGAATGCTAAGATTATGCAATGGAGATGATGAAATAATGATGCAATAATAGATATATGGCCAAGGTGGAGGCAGTATAGCCGAGTAATTGTTGCGCAGATTGTCTCAAGGTTTGGATCCTCTCTTCTGCAAGAGTGAACTTTTCATTAAAAAATCTCGTATTGGCAATCCTCCTTTATTGTTAAATGACTGTCTGGAAAAATTTTTATTGTACTTTGGGAAGGGAGGGATGAATATACCAAAAATAGTGCGCCATTTATTAAATTGTAGGGGCAGTGCAGTCAATTAATTCGATGATAAATAATGTCAATCTCTTTCAACCTCTTTTAAAAATTTGAAATTGTGGTTACCAATTATATAGTTTTTTATACGATAATTTTCACTTTACCAGTCAAATTCTTATTAAGAAAGTATTAAATTTTTATGTAAACTATTATATAAGTGAGACCTTTTTAGCACGGATGTTAATGCAACTATTTTGGCATTTTTCGAAAGGAAACTTCGTTTGAAAAGCTCAGTTATTAACAAAAAGTGCGACAAATAATTGACCTGAAATAGTGATGTCTATTTACTCACATCTTCTTGCACAAATTCTTTTACTGCCTCCCAAAATTTCAAATAAAATTAACTTTTAATTATATTCACGTCGTCAACAGAATTTAAGGAACCAATAAGAAAGGAGCAAACTTACTTACTTGAAATGTTGTATCAAAGCCATCAGGAGTTTTGTTTTCTTCTGGTAGAAGTGTTCCAGCGTTTAAAACAATTATATCATATTTGCTGAAATATCAAGATATTTTTTCAATTCAGTATGCCCTTGTTATTTAATTTAAGCATAATACTGGTTACATTTTTTATCTTTTATTTTAATGTGTTTTAGTTGTCAGACAATATTCACAATTAAAAACGAATTTTACAAGTCTGACACTACAAATTATACTGATATTTCATCTCTGATTTAAGAAAAATGGATTTTGAAGAACTAATTAATAGTTATAAAAATTATTAATTTGAAATTATTAATTATTAATAATTATTAATAAAAATTATTACTGTAAAAATTATTGTAGGTTTTTTTCAGTTTTTTTGTTTACTATTTTATAATCATTTATCGAATGTAAAATGTTACTTATAAAAATTTGAAGTTGTAGTGCAACAAAGACTATAAATGAAATATAATATGAAAAGAAAATAATATGAAATTTGGTGGAGTTTATACTTATGCGCAAGCACACTAGACTTCTTTGAATGATAAAAGAATTGGATAGAGTTAAAGATTCAAATGCAGTTCATTATTTCACGTAAAACTAAGAACTAACTATTAAAATTCTATGTGGATTTCCAATATATATATATATATATTTAAATATTTAAATAAATATTTAAATAAAATATATAAAATTAATTTAAATTTAAATAAAATATAAAATTAAATATTTAAATAAAATATATAAATATATATTATATATATATTTATATATATATATATATATAAATAAATATATATATATATAAATATATAAATATATATATATATATAAATATATTCATTGCTTTCCAGTCACATATGGAAAATGAAGCTGGAGAATAAGATCAGGGAACAAAAAAAGTTAGCCAGCTAATAAAATTACAGGTGTGAAAATCAAGAGCAGGATATCCAGATACTGGAAAATATAAAGTCTACTCCAAAAGCCTTAGAGATAAGCTCGTAGCACTGGCCACTGAATTAAGGAAACACACTAGAGAAGCAGATTTTAAAAAATAAATACTCTCTTCGCCAAAAAACCGTTCAAGATAGACTCTCAATTACAATGCAGTAATATGGTAACAATCACGAATGAAAAGTGAACAATACTGGAAGAATATATGGGAGAAATATTTCTTCTTCTAACAGTTCTCTCCATTATTGGTTAGACTGGCTCCAACAGCTACAAGGGTAAGACGGTTCCAAGCTGCGTGGTCTGATGCTATCGTTGACAGTAATAGAAGCCATTCCTTTTTCCATCGTCTAACTTCATATATTGCTGGTCCACCTATACGTTCAAAACCTTTTCTGACCGTATTAGCCCAGGTCTTGATTGGCCCACCTCGCTTTTGACGCCAGCCATCATATGGTTTAGCAAATAACGAAATATGCATTAACTCCTGTAGTGGACGACGGAGAACGTACCCTAACCAGCGAAGACGACGCTTAACATTATTTATGCTAACATGATAACATTATTTATGCAAGTGGTATTTGAACGAAGGTGGATGCGATCATGTGCGATTTTATTCGCTCGATGGACCAGTAAAATGTATCTTAGATATGAGTGGTCAAAGGCTAATATTCTTAATATCCTCCACTCTCATTGGCCATGTCTCAGAACCATATAGTAAGATCGAACGGATCACGGCTATATAGATGCGGACTTTTGTTTTTATGGTGATTTCACGGCGACTCCATAAAGATTTCGTCAACCAGAAGAACATATTGTTAGCTGCCATGATCCGAGTTGTAATATCATCTTTTGCTTGTCGGTATTGAAGTGGACCCAAGGTATTTAAAATCGAGACTTCCTCAACCGGCAATGAATTTACAAAAAGAGGCAGCTTCTTGCATATAAGACTGCGAATAAGCCCAGTTCTGTTTATTAATGGAGCATTACACTGTGCTTGTGACGACAACCAACTTTACGCGGTTTGCGGTTCAAACTAGCTATCTTGACCTTCACCGCTATTTTCTGCCGGTTCCACCTACTACTGGCGACAACCCTTTCGGGCAGTTGCTGACATTATTTAGCACTGCATTTCATCATAACTATCAGTAAAAAGGATAAAAGGACTACATCATTAGCGTATTCAAAATCTGTAATACAATGCTCTGGACATAATTTCTTGGGTGCGGACAAGCGGTGTCCATTATCCAGTCTATCGCATAGTTGAATACTGTAGGGAAAAAGACACAGCTCTGATTGATACCAGTTTTTATTTCGAAGCAATCTGTCAGTTCCCCATAGATCTGCGCCAGGTGATGATAAAATGCCTTTATGTGCCGAATGATCTCTGGGACACCCTCACATTCCATCACTTTCCAAAGTATTGCTCTATCAATCGGATCGAAAGTAGCTGCAAAATCGATGAAACAAGTGATGTTGAATTGCTGCTATTTAAAGAGATATTCCAGCATTCTTCTTAGCGTAAATATCTGGTCAGCACAACCGCAATCCTGGTTTGATTCCAGTTTGGTTAGGACGCATTCCGCTATCTCGTGTTGTTATTTAGGAGAAGAGAATTGAAAATTTTTCTGAGATATCTAGTGCAATAATTCCTCAGTAATTGTCGCAATACATCCAATATCTAGGAATTGAAAGCAGAATTGCTTCTTCTCAGCCTTCTTGTATTATTTCCTTTTACAATACCGAAGACTACATTTGTTGAAGATGAGAATGTGGACAGTGATCACTTGGCTTGCAACGTCCATACTTTTCAAATTAGAAATTGATCAGGAAGATGTCGAAGAATGAATTGAATGTTAGCGATGAAAAATACTATTAGTATCTGGAAATCCTACTAGTTGCTTATATGCTTAACCTCAGTCTCTCAGGCCTGTGGTGAAGAACCTGAAATTCGATGAAATATGGGATGAGAATAGAACTTTTTTAAAATAATTTGTATTTATGTCAGATCTTCTTTATACGCTTAAATAAAAATTAAATATCGCATTACATTGAATAGAGAAGCCAAATTATCTTCCATTTGTAAAAATTTAAAGCAATTTTATTCATTTTTTTTTTACATTTTTATTAATTTGTATAATAAATTGTTTTAATGAAGCGAATAAAAAATATTTATTTATTTAAATGAATACAACCCTTGAAATCTCATTCGAACAATAGATTAGCGAGATCTTTGAGGCTATAATGGTGTTCTAAATCAAAGAAATTTGAGAAACACTGATCTAGATTATCATTGCAATTTTATTTAATTATAGCCCTTCTACTCTTTATTACTTAATAAAACTAGGCAATTTTTTCTTGAGGTACAAGTAGTCAAGGAGTAAAAATGGTTAGTGGAGAAATGACCAGCCTTCAAAGTTAATTACTGGTAATTATTTTCGTTAAAAAATTTTTGACTGAAATTTCAAATTTTTTGTTAATTTTGGTCTATTGGCGATTTCTTTTTATTGATTCTATAAAAATTACCTTGGGTTGCAGTGTTTTGTATAAGATTATAGGACTGATTTTATGATCGATTATTTAAATTGCGAAGGCAAATAAGCAAGAAGCAGAAGATGCTTAAAGCAAAGAATCCTTCAAGCATTCTCTAAGCATTCTCTTCAATATATCACTTCAATTTATATATCACTTTGACAACCCGATCCGGATACCTTATCTTTCCACATATCAGACAAAATTAATGGATCAATTTTCAAAATTTTAGCCAAATTTATTTATTATAAATTATAATTAGTCGACGAAAAA